GTTTTTAGGGGTTTAGGATTTGGGGTGCGGGGCTTAGGTTTTTGGAGTCCAAGCTCTGCCTGCTGATCCACACCTTAAGTTTACGCTCTGCCCCAGCAAAGCCCAAACTTGCCTAAACCCTACGCCCTAAGCCCCCAAGGTTCCAAAACAAGGGCTATCTGTAGGGGACTACAGTACCGAAAGCCTTAATGATGGAGGATGGGGTTGTAAAGGTTTTGCGACCCCCTATGGAACCCTCAAAATGCCAAGCCGTCAAGACCCCAAAGTGCCGATTCTTGAAGACCCATGATGTAGGGGCCTTAACAATTAGAATAGGGTTTTGGGGTGGCTCCTTATTGGAAGTATACTACAACATACCCCAAACCCTATTCTAATTATAAAGGCCCCTATATCGAACCCCCATAAGCCCCAAGAAACCTCAACAAGCAAGAGATAAAATGTTTCAAAGGCCCCAAAAAATCCAATCCAATCCAGAAAGCTATCCTCGGTTCCATGAAAACCCAAAAACCTGTTCGAAAAAAACCTGAAAAGAGGAGCCCCCCAGACCCCAAAACCCCCAAAAACTGCCCTAAAACCTTGGGTCCTCGAACCTCCTCCCACTTGCCGGTGCTGTCCTCCCAATTCGCCTCCTTTGGGCTTCAGAGGTCAGGGTTTGGGGCTCGGAGTTTAGGGTTTAGCGTTTAAGGTTCAGAGGGGTTCTAGTTTACCTTGAACTACCAAAACCTACTTGTTTGTAGGGTCCTCATAAGTTCTATACCAGGGTTTATAATCAGAACCTACCAAAAAAGAGGATTATGCTAGTTTAAGGTACGTAGGGCTTAGGGCTCAAGGCCTAAGGCCCGAAGTAGTCCCCGCCTTGTTCCATCTTGCCATCGCTTTGGACCTGACCACTTCGTGGGGCTTTAGCTTGTGTAGGTTTAGGGTTTAGGGTTTAGGGTTTAGGGTTTAGGGTTTACGGTTTAGGGTGCCGGGAGGTGTTTTGGGTGCTGTAGATCAAGGCTTGGGTGCAACCAGATCGTTGGGGCTTAGAGGAGCTTTAAAGTAGTTTGGACGGGCTTTGCCATGGTGTTAGAGATTTTATCTTTTGGGGCGCAGCTGCTCCGCCACAATGCTGCTATCGCCGCCGTACTCGGGATCGCCCCAGGTGACGACCCACCCATCCGAAAGGATGGCGGCAAAGGCGGCAGGAGTGGCCTGGATTCCGTGCACATTCCTGAGCTGCTCCTGGACGGCGCTGCTGTCACCACCAGTTTTCGCATCTCCCCATGTGACGACGGATCCATTGCGCAGAATGGCAGCAAATGCTCCGACTGAAGCTTGGATCTGCGCGACGTCCTTCAGTTGCACTCCGCTACTATCACCGCCGTAACGAGGCAGGCCCCAAGTCACGACCAATCCGTCGGCCCGTATCGCGGCGAATGCATTGCTGTTCGCCTGGATCTGAACTACGTCTCGCAGTTGGTCTTGGACTCTGCTACTGTCACCACCAGCACTGGCAAGGCCCCATGTGATTACAGATCCATCGTCCCGAAGTGCAGCAAATGCATGCACACTGCTCTGCACTTGCTTCACGCTCCTCACTTCGACTACTGGGGACTCTTCCTCCACCTCAGGGCTGTCCAAGTCTGCAAGGAAGACATCGCACGTAAACTCCTCGCTTTTGTCCACGTTTCGGCTCAGCTCGGTCCGGTAGTTGGGGTCACCGCCAAGGCGTTCATCTCCCCAAGCGACCACGGATCCGTCGCTCAAAATCGCCGCGAAAGCTTTACTTGCAGCCTGAATGCTCCGTACATTCTTGAGTTTCCCCTGAACTGTGCTGCTGTCACCTCCGTAATCGGGATTTCCCCAGGTTACTACCGATCCGTCAGCCAGGATGGCAGCAAAAGCGCCCCGTGAAACCTGAATCTGCTGTACATCCTTAAGTTGTTCCAGCACCGAGCTGTTGTCACCACCATACTCGGGTTCACCCCATGCCACCGCAGACCCATTGCCCAGGATGGCAGCAAATGTCTGGTAGCCAGCCCGGAGTTGCTGCACACCTTTCAGCTGCTCCGCAACAGCAGTGCTGTCACCACCAAAGTCCGGGCATCCCCAGGTTACTAGCGATCCATCGGCCAGAAGGGCAGCAAAGGCACCGTGTGATGCTTGAACCCACTGGACAGTCTTGAGTTGCTCCTGGACCTCGCTGGAGTCTCCGCCGTAGGAAGGATGGCCCCATGTGACTACGGATCCATCTTCCAAAGTGGCTGCAAAAGCGTTGCTTGTAGCCTCGATCTGCAGCACATTCCTGAGCTGTCCCTTGACAGCGCTGCTGTCGCCGCCACGTTGCGGGTCTCCCCAAGTCATCACGGAGCCGTCCCCAAGCAGGGCTGCAAATGACCTGGTGCCGGTTGTTGCAACTTTGGTCTGCCGAACTTGAAGGGTCAAAACATCCCCCGGTTTCAGGCCAGCTTCGTCGACGGTCTGTTCTATATCCAGGATGTCTCCCTTGGAATTCAGGAGGACTCCTTGCCCGGTAGCTTGAAGATCGTTCTGCGCTTGCACCCGGATGCACTTTAAAGACGAATCGCCGTTGACTGCAATCTGTGCCGTCCTTCCGCTCAGGAGGGTCACGTGGAGGCAAGTGGAAGACATGAGAAGGGCAATCCCCACCAATCCCTAAACCCTAAACCCTAAACCCCCGGTTTTGGAAGCAGGGCTGAGCACCCCCAACGCGAAGAAGCTCCAGGTACGACCACTCTAGTACCAATGTGTGTTCAGCTTTAGGGTCTGCAGCCTTTTAGTAATGAACCTGCACAGTTACGTTTCCGAAAAACTTGTACCTCAAAACCCCCAAACCCTGAAGCTACAGCATCTCAAACTTTAAACCCGAAAGCCCACCCCCCCAAACACTAAACCCTTAAACCGTATCAAGCCTTAAGCACCCAAGCTTGGAAGTTTCAGGTGCCCACGATTCCCACGACTGTCAAATCAGAGCCCGAGCCCGTGAAGGCGCCAAGGCTTTGTTCAGGGGCCCTAAACCCTACCTGGTAAACCCTCAAAGCTTTAAGGTACAAGCTGTTGGCAGTATGGAAATGGCCGTGGCTAACCAGGAGAGCCCTGTACACCTCAATGAACCAATGGTAGCTTCAAGGGCTCAAAGTTATGACTTGAGTTGAGATATAGTCTTTAGAAGAGGCATTGGGTTGTACGGGAGCATAGTACAGATCACTTGAAGCCGCAAACGCAAAATAAAACAGCATATAGTTTGAGGGCGATAGGGAGATACTGGTACTAACTATTTCGACTCTACGCTAACTCTCATTGGCTATATAGTCATGTTACGACGACGGGATGAAAAAGACGACAACTGCTACTGAAGACGACGGGATGACGAAGACGACAACTGCTACTGAACCAGCGGTATGTGCACCACAAGTATAACACCATGGGTAGATAGATACCGTTCGAACAAGAACCAACTCGTTATCAACGTTCGGCAGGTTGGCCATGCCTTTTGCACTGCTGCAGGTATTTTCTGATACCCTGAAACCCTAAGAACTCTGAAGACCTGAACTGCAGCACCCGAAGCTCCACAATACCCTCAACCCTTAAACCCTAAGCTAGAACCTCAACCACAGAAACCCTGAAGCCTCAAATCTAGAACCATACCTGCTGGGGCGCAGGCGGTGATTTCGGTACAGGTGGGGGCGGCCTCGACAGATGCAGCCTATGTATGTGGACATATGTATGTGTGTATGTGTACATATAGGTAGTTGTCAAAATTATGGTCCCTTTTGGGGTACCCTAAAATAACAGGTGCCGTATTATAATAAGGACCCAAAAAGGGACCATAATTTTGACAACCACCCATATGTACATAGATATACATACGTCGGCGCCAGGAAGCCCAGGCTTGAGCTGGCGCAATCGGGTCTTCGGCACAAACTTAAAACCCAGAGCTGCCAAAACAGAAATGCAACAAGATCGTCGAAGGCTGGGGGTTCGGGTTGGGGGTTTAGGGTTGAGGAATAGGCCGTAAACGCTGTAAAACCTATAACCTAAACGTTTGGGGTTTCGGGAGTAGGGCTTGAGGCTAACTTGGAGGATCAGAAACTTAGCAACGAAGGCTGCTAGAACGGACATCAGCCGTAGTTACCCTAACTTGCAACCCCACCTACTAAGTCCGTCTTCAAGTAGTGGGTTTTTGGGCCTTGGGCCACTAGCCGCAGAATGCCTGACGTCTGGCTCCGAGAAACTTTTGTTGGAAGCTGGCGGCCAAAGCGGCTCAGTATAGGGGCACTTTGGGATAATTACGTAAGGCCCAGAAGCACATGTTAACAACGACCCTTCGGAGCAAACCGTAGAAAATCTGCAGGTTTAATTCGAAACCCTGAAACACCCAAACCAGCCAAAACCCGTGAGCCAGAATCGCTGGATTTTTGGGTTTGCCCAAAACCCAAAACTCCAAAACCCTAAACTCCAAACTCTAAGCCGCGAGACCCACACCCCAAACCCCAAACTAACCCTTGATCCCCGAACCCTGATGCCTCCGTAAACCCTCCGAAACACAGACGATCCCCAAATTCTCCGAAATAGACCCAACCAAAAGAAAAATAATAAATCAACCCTGCGAAAATAGACTCAAAACCCGCTCCAAAACCCTCAACCCTTGATCCCTAAACTGTCCCGAAGAATACCCCGAGCTCCGAACCCTAAACCCTAAACCCTAACTAGATGATATACCCCTCATCTGTGGCTCCCCAGCGGTAGTGACAAGTATTTCGCTTGAGCAGAAGCCACGGATCTCCCCTGCACTTTCAAAGGGCTTATGATGTGGGAGTTTCCGAAAATCAGGGGTACCTTATTTTTGGGGGTCCTTATAAGGATCCTATTATTTAGGGTACTATATTAGGGTCCCCTATTTTCGGAAACCTCCATGTAGAGCTTATCGCATAGGGGTTCAGGGTGTAGGGTTTAGGGGTTTAGGGCGTGTATACAGTGTGCACGCGGTGGGTGCGCCTTGTACTTCAACATTTCACTGCAACCCATAGCTGAGATGGATTGGTGTCGGGTTGCGGCTCCTCGCGGCCTGTGCCGGCCGCTCGACGAGAAGCAAGGGTTTCCTCGTATACTGTGAGGCTTTACCCTCCCTCACCGTTCTGAAGGGACGCTCGGCCGTGTGTCTCGGTCGGAGCCTCGAGCGCCCATGCAAATGGCCAGTGACGCTCTCGGCAGTTTAGTATGTGGGTTGAGGGTTGAGGGTTGAGGGTTGAGGGTTGAGGGTGTTGGGGTTTAGGATTTTGGGTGTTGCTCAGGGCTTGCAGTTTCTTCGGGGTTTAGGGTTTAGAGTTTAGTAATGTTTTGGCATTGAGTGTTTAGGGTTTATGGTCGCAGGCTTGGGGTTCCCGACATAGAACTGCGCTTCTCTGTCTTATTGCGTGCGGATGAGGGCGCATATTGCTGCATGAGCTCAAGCCACCAGTCTTTCAAGTGCTTTTGCTGTACATAAACGTGGCTGCATGATTCGAAAGCGATGAATTTCCTTCGTGGCGAATCAAAGAAATGGTGGTTCCGACTATATTCTAGAAATTTTCAAACGATATTCCTATGATATACATGTGTGCGTATGTATATAGTTAAGTAATATGTGCTGCAGTGCAAACCTTGGGTCAATGTCCGTCTCAAAGTCCAAAAGATGAGGCCGAGGAGGGATCGTGCCCCCCAACACTTCACTTTACACCAGAACACCCCGAAACCTACACCGTATAGGCACACACACAAACACACGGGTTTAGGGTTTTTGGTTTAGGGTTTACGGTTTTGGGTTTGGGGTTCAGGGTTTGGGGGCACACCGTAACCCGAACCTCGTGATTGAAGCCGACTGCAGAATTTTCAACATTTTCTGCCGGAGCTTATGATGTCCAATAGTCTCCTCCTGTAGTCAAGTCGTATTGTTCTCAGCTACTACGCCTAAACTTTGGATCATGATCACTCTCAGCCTAACCCTCAAGCACCCTCGAAGGTTGCGCACCCCCTGAAGGCCGTGAACACCCTAAACCCTAAACCCTAAAAATTGAACTCCAAGCGAAACCCCTAAACAACCCAACAGTTGGATTAAGCCCGAGACCCCAACACGGGCATTTAGTGCTTAGGGTTTAGGGTTGAGGTTTTGGGCATAATGAAATAGGGTGTACGTTATGATTTTGCCGGGTGTGCATGAAGCGCCATGTGGAAGAATGGTGAAAGTCTATTCAAGCCTGTTCCAGTCGTATAACTATGAGAACTGCCGCCAGGAATATGATTGCTAATTGCTAATTGTTCAGACCCGGACACCTCAACCGTAACCCCTGAGCCCAAAGCCCTAAACCCTCCAAGACTCCCATCCGCCTCATACAAAGGTTAGGGTTTAGGGTTTGGGGTTTAGGGTTTAGGGTTTAGGGTGTAGGTTCATACACTGACTACAGGAGAATAGCATTGAAGGTGATTCAAGCCCTGTTTCAAAGCCTACACCCTGACCACTTACTAGACCTGGCATTCCCAGCTCTCCTGACCTTACACCCAAAGCCCCAAGCCTTAAACCCTCCAAGACCCTTTAACTGGTTCCCTGTTGGGGATATATTAAAAATGATCATTCTTAATCCTTATTGGGTTTTACTATAACAAAAATGTAAAATTGTATCCAACAAGGACCCAGTTAAACCCATGAAGCGCGAAACCCCACAACAACCCTTGTAGGAACCCCCTGCAGCAAAAAACTGTAAAGGACATCCATGCAGTCGACTTTGCCAATCCCTGTGTACGACCCTATAACAACCGAATATGAACCTCTTACAAGTCCTACACAACCCTCAGCAGAAAATCAAAAACAGAATGTAAATCCTATACAAGCCGCTGAACAACCTGCCTAAAACCCTTCTGCCCTAAGACCCAAGCCCCAAACGCCAAAGCCCCTAAACCCTCTTTGAACCCTAAACCCTAAACCCCAAAACCCTAAACCCGAAACCCTTGAAACCCTTAAACCGTAAACCCTGAACCCTGAACCCTAAAACCCAAACCCTAAACCCTAAACCCTAAACCCTAAAACCCTGAACCCGCCACCTTCGGTGGTTCTTTGGGCTCTGGAGGCGGTAGACTTGAGTCAATGGAAGGCCTTGAAAAGGGTTTGGGGTTTAAGGCTTAGGGCTTAAGGGTTGGGGGTTTAAGGGTTTAAGTGTTTGGGTTTAAGAGTTTAGGGTCTAAGGCCTGGAGGAAGGGTGTTTTTGGGGGGTCTTCTGTTGGGTGGCTGTTTAAAGATTTTGATGGGCGCCAATCGGAGTTTGTATACGGTTCAGGGATTATGGCTTGGGTTTAGGGCTTGGGCGGCTTATGTTTTGGTGGCATTCGGGGGTTAGGCAGGTTCGGGTGTCCACGGCGAAGAGTGTCGAGAAGTGGTTTCTTTTGTGCTTTTCACAGGATTTGTTTATGAAGCTCCACAGTGGCTTACAGGGCGCTTAGGGCTCGAAAGTACGTGTTGACGGGGACTCCGTACGGCTGTATAAATTTTGTGTTTAGGGTTTAGGGCTAAGGGTTTAGTAAGGTTAATTTGGTAAGGGATTGACTTGGGCCCTGTTGCTAGAAGAGTCTTGAGGGTCTTAGGAGTTTAGGGTGGGCGGGGGTCTCTCTTCAGGGTTCGGGGCTTCGTAACCCGACCTGGGTGGTGCGAGGTTTGGGTCACCCTAAGCCCTCAATCTCAACCTTGAACAGCCAATCTCACAAACTGGGAGCCACAAATTCTGACCTCTCATGTGGTTCAGCACTGAAGAACCCAAAGATCCCGTTTTAAGACCCCAAAATATAATCCTTTAGTGACTCTAGGAACCCTATATACAACTAAACCCGAAGCCCCGAACCCTACTAAGAAGGAGTGTAATGTTTAGGGTTTAGCGTTCAGGGTTTGGAGTTTCCCTAGATCTACGAGGCACCAGCCTGCTCTTTGGAGCTGTAGGCATCTTCTTCGCCGAGGGAATTTTTGGCGTCGCTGGCCTTTGACAGCGTGCTGGAATACCAAAAGCTACGAGGGCTTGCCTGGACCCTAAATAACCTGCCTTTCTAAGCACCTCTGCACAGATAGCACAATCAGAAACCCAAATTGAAGCTTCAGGCTCCAGGTAGGGCATCGATTTCAGGGTTCAGGATATTGGCTTAGGGTTTAGAGTCAAGCATTTAGAAGGTTGGCCCTTTACACCCTCTGAAGGATACTCGTAAGCAAGAGGCTCTTCAGAGAAAAAATGAAATGTCCAAAGGCCTGCCGCCTGCCTAGAAGGAGTCTGAAGCCGAAATGGCCTATGCCCTGCATGCTTAAACCCTTCGGCAACCAAACAGAAGCTGAAGCAGAAAGCAGCTAGGCACGCCATGTAGGACCCGGATAGTCGAAGATTCTATCCCTACACCCAAGACTGTGGTTCATGGGCAACCCAAGAACTGACAGACTAGGCCGCCGGCAGCCCCTTCGCCTTCCGCTTCTCATTCAAAGCCACCTTGGCGCACAAAAAGGTCGAAGGGCGCCAGGAGCGAGAAGGGTCTGAGCCTCGTAGAAATCTGCACCTTACAACGCAGAAGACAGAAGACACAAGAAGATGAAGAGGCTGCTAGAGTAATGAAGACAAAGAAGAAAGAACAAGACGTGATAGCAGACCCTACACCGGCCGTTGGCGATGATGTAGCAGTGCTTATCCTGACAAGTGACCCCGAACGACACGGACGAACTCAGTTGCAACCTCTTGCTTCATCCCTTGCAAGTTAGCCGAAGACTATGAAAACAGAACAACTGAGTATCTGCATAACGGAACATTTTGGACCCAGCCTTCAGTTTCTTCCAGAGATCCGGCAGCGCTGTCCGGATCCAGCAGCCCCCGGAAAGCTCCAGCTGTGGGTCGTACCGCAACTGCGTCAAAAGGCCACTCAAGGCACCGCCGCCTCCAACGAGCGTTCGCTTCGTGCCACGGGCCAGATCGCAGTGCCCCTGCTCTTCGACCATCGTCCATGTCTGTTTTGGGATCGTCTGTGCCACTGCTGTGTTGGACCCTGATGGTGCTTGCCGGCACACGCTTCACCCGTGTCTTCTCCTCGTCCTCTGCAGCACGGACGTGAGCTTCCCAACGCTGCTGGGCGACTGTCAAGCGCATCATAGCCGACGCTGGCGGACTTAAGGCCTTTTCCTCCACGAGACCCCAGGCAGTGCCGACACAGTGGTGTACTGTGGCACTACGCAGTGTCGTCAACCTCAGCTATGTGCACATGGGCCCTACTCATTTCAGTGCGTTTTGGAGTACTTATTACTATAATTACTCTTCAAGACACAGAACCTCGAGGAGGGGCCGCCTCGCGCCCAGCTCTGTTCGAGCTCTGGACTCTTACAGGACGGGGGCGCTCACACGGGACGGGGGCGCTTACGGGAGGAGCCTCCTTACGGGACGGGCGCCTACGAGACCCGCTATGTAGCTTCGTCGTCCTTCTCCATGAAGAACTTTTGTGGTCCTTACCGGACTCTTAATTACGCGCGGAGGCGCTTACGGGACGAGCCTCCTGACGGGGCTCAGGGTTCCTTATTATGAATATACTATAAAGGAGCCCCAAACCCTGTGCTAATTATCAAGGCCCCTGCACCGCATAGAACCCTTCTGAAAGCCACGACCCCTCAAAACCACTACCGAGTCCGAAGCCCTGAGCCGGCTAACCCCCTAAACCCGCAAACCCTCGACACCCTGAGCCCTCAACCCTACAAGCCCTCCCGAAACCCAGAACATCCTGAACCCGAAACCCTAAACGCCCTGAGCCCCACACCCTACAAGCCCAAGCCCCCAAGCCCTAAACCAAACTTACCTCAAAATCCCCCCCAAAGCATCCGGCTCCAAATCACAAAACAAAGCTCCCCCCTACAATTTACCAATGGGGCCTAGGGTTCAAGGTTGAGTGTTGAAGTGTTGACGGTATATTCCTTAAGTGCGGCTAGGGAGGGACAGTTAAAGAGCTTGCGAATCTCTGGAAAACCTCCTGAGCATCCTGCCAACTCCACTTGCTCTTGGGAGTCAGCTGGCTTCGGCGAATCACTCGGAGCGGACCTGCGATCCCCCCCGCAGCCCAGGCAAAATAGGGATCCCTTAATGGTACTGGGCAGGCTTAGGGTTTAGGGTTTTTTGTTGAACTCCTTTTTGGGAGACTCACCGACCATTATTACTTCTACTATTTTGGGGGGCTCCTCATTATCGGCGGGGACAAGGACAACCCTGAACCCTCTAGGCGACTGGTCCAAAGACCCCGGAATCCGAGGCAAATTCCAAAGCCCAACACCCGTAACCCCGAACCCTACGCACCCTTCAGTGCTAAGCCAGAAACATCCATAAATCCTGAATGCCACAATCCACCCATTCCCCCAACTGCCAGGAAACCCTAAACCCCCCAAACCCTCAACCCCTAAACCCGAAACGCCTAAACCCTCAATGCATATCTGGGGAGACGGCTTGGGTAGAGTAAGCCTCCTTTTCGGAGAAGGGGTCGTTACGGACCTGGGATGGTTTCGGGTTTGGAGCTTTGGGTTAGGGTTTAGGGTTTTGGGTCTATATGGCTATGCACGTTAGAACAAGAACATTATACTTATCCTGGGCTTGAGGGTTTAGTGTTTAGGGCTTAGGGCTTATATAGGCAAACCATGGGGTCGGAGGAAACCTACTCTAAGGCAACAGTATCCGGGATAGGGTTTGGCAGGTGCATCTCACAGGAAAAGCAAGTGAGGACTGTAAGCAGAGACTGCCGCATGCTCCCTCCGTGTGCCACCCTAAACCTACCCTGCCATGCCCTAAACCCAACTTCTAAACAGCTATCTACCGTCACAATGAGCCTGAAAACCCTAAACCCCTGAAC